AGAGAGAGAGAGAGAGAGAGAGAGAGAGAGAGAGAGAGAGAGAGAGAGAGAGAGAAAAAGAGAGCAGAGGGGGAGAAAAAAGAAGGAAAAAAAGGAGAAAAAGGCCAGGCCATACTAGCGAAGGATGGACCACTAGTATTCCTTATTTCACCGTAACCCGCCGCTCATTCATGCCGGCATACTCATAACTAACCACTCTTCGATGCCCTAGCCTTTTTCGATTTCTCCAACCACTTCCATTGCGTCCCATTTTAACCACGTCTGCAAGCTCACCACCACTTTCTCTGCGTCCCGTAATCACGGCGTCCAAGCTTTTCTTGAGATGTGGTTGGTGGGGGCACCCACCAACAGCGCTGCGGGGATAATCCCACCCTGTGTGTTTTGAGTGTGTGCTTTATATGCACGCCAAGGCAAGATATCCTATGCCTGGCCAAATCTCCGACTTTTACATCGGCACACCCTTCAGCTTGGGAAACCTTCGCAAGTATGGCATCGACTTCTGATCTGGGAAAAAGGCATCTAAACTAGCGCAAGTATGGCAGATTCCATCTGCTGTGGCGAGAACGGCATCTACTCAAGTTTTTGAGTACTTTCAGACAAGGCGGGTAGGAGCAAACAGCGTAAGGCAGAAAGGGAAACCACAACACAACAAACAACGACAAGGCAAACAACACAAGGCAGCAAAGCATAAAGGCTGGAGGGCATGCGTGAGGCGGGTGGGCAGGCAAAGAGCACAAAACACACTGATGGAAGGGCATGGGATAGGCGGATGGGCAAGCAAACAACTTAAGGCAGCGAGGAAAACAACAGCAAGACTAACATCGACAAGGCAAAAACAGCACAAGGCAGCAAAGCGTAAAGGTTGGAGGGCAAAGGGGAGGCGGGCGGGCAGGCAAGCAACACAAAGCCACAAAGCACACAGGGTAAAAGGCATGGGGTAGGCGGATGGGCAAGCAAACAGCGTAAGGCGACGAGGGAAACAACAGCAAGACAAACGACGACAAGGCAAAAACAATACCCCAAAAAAACAAGTACAAACGAGGCAAAGACTGAAAAAAATCATAAAAACTGATGATAGATTGTTTCGTCGGAATTGCACCGAATCATCAGGAGGCTGAACCCTCGACAATCTGCGACATCCTCGGTTTTGGATGCGTTAGGTCATGAACCCTTTGACCCCTGTTGAAGGCAGGTTGCCCACGAATGGAACACGGCAGCAGCGAATGACGCCGTTGTGAAGCATCAGGCAACACACTCAACGCCAGAGCACTACGCAACACCAAAGACGGTTGCAAGCAGGACACCACGCAAAGCAAGAGGGTTGGACAAAAGACAACGGTGGCACGCAGACAGCACAAGGCAGCCCACACATCCAACACAGAGCCAAGCAACACATGACCTACCCACATCACGGGTGAACCCCGCAGACTGTTGGTTCCCACCACCCAATGAGCCAGGGAGTCACCCCGRCGGACAACCATCATCACCCACAGGCAAGTAGTTCAGCAACCGTGCAGCGAAGTGAGGCACCGCCACAAGGTTACCAAACCACAAGGCACGCGAGCAAAGGACACGAGAGGCATGACCCGCAGGTAGTCGGCAAGGCAGCAGAGCAACAGACAATTAGTCTACACATCCAACACGGAGCAAAGCAGCACATGACATACTCACATCACGATAGAACCCCGTAGACTGTTGGTTCCCACCACTTGCTGAGCCAGGGGAACACGTCGACGACCATCCGTCATCACCGACAGGCAATTCAGATAACTCGAACCGAGCGGCCCCCCTAAGAGTGCAGTTGGCACTCCAAACGAGGAACCACCAACTGTTTAGCACTACTATGGGGTGTTCGGCTAGAGACAAACGTACTTAGAGAAAAATATAGGAAAGAGAAGAGAAACAAACATACCAAAAACAAAGACAAACATACAAAAAACAAGGACAAACAAACTTTTATAAAATTGATTGTGTGTGTGTGTGTGTGTGTGTGTGTGTGTGTGTGTGTGTGTGTGTGTGTGCGTGTGTGTGTGTGTGTGCGTTGCGTCTTCGCCCGCACGAGGGATCGCCATTTGTGAGAGTGTGTGTGTGTGTGTGTGTATGTGCGCGCGTGCGTGGTGGGTGGCGGGGGGGTGGGACGACCCCTACCCCACCACTCACTCAATCAATCAATCAACAAAAAAAAAAAAAAGCAAAATCGAATGAATCTTCCGCTCTAACAATGGCAAGGGAGGCACACGACGGAGCAAGGCATGTGCAATGGCGACGACACGGGAGGTCAGCATTGGACGACATGTGTGCGCGCGGGCAGATAGCGAGAGCGCAGTGGCCGGGTTGTGCGTTTTGTAGACATTGCTCGGCACAACGCCTACGGCTTCGAAATGGAAGCCCCGACCGGAGAACACCTGCCGACGACACCAGAGATGGCTTCCCCGTCGGCAGGCCAGGGAACCTGCACGCGCAAAGGAGATGAGCGATGGCATAACTCCCGTGAGAAATGACGGAGGGTTTAATGGACGTGTCGACGCAACGACGTGAGGGTGTCATTGCCGATGCTTCTGCCACTGAAGTCGGTGGGCACGAAGCGACTGCATGGCTGGCCTACGTCCCGAGCCCGCCAAAAAAATTCAAATTTGAAATACTGCGTCTTGCCGTTCGCAGTCCGAGGGTAGTATGGAGGGCCCAGACCCCCCCGGGCCCCGGTGGGAACCGTGCGACGCAAGAAAATGAAAACCGTGTCCGCGCGGAAGCACTGGTCCAGAAAACGGTCCACGGCTACGGTCCTTGGTTCGCGCCGTTCCATGCCCCCCCCCCCTACTCATCTGGAGCCGTCCTTAAAAACTGTTTGGAAACTCGTCGCCACAAATTTCCAGGCCGCGAGCCGAGTTGAAACACCCCGTCAGCTTTTCCACGACCTCTTTCCAAACGCAGTGGGGTCCAAAATTCCTTTCCGGGCCGACTTTCCACGACGGTTTCCAACACCTGTAGGGTCTGAAAGACACTTCCTCGGAAAGAAGTTTCCAGGCTGCGGGCCAGTGGGATCCAAGCCTTAGCCACATGTCTAGCAGAATTCACCCTCCTTATGGAGAAGATGTTACGGCAGCAGGAATGAAGTATAACGCAACCGTAAGTGGGAATATAACGTAACGGTAAGTGAGAAATCTAGGGTCAGAAATGAAGGATAAGGGTTAGTGGGACTTGGCCGACTAGCGGGGGACGAGGGGTTTAATCTTGCTTCTTATCTGAGTATTGTTCAACGTCGCCTCAGGACGGCCTTGAGATGTTCAGATCGGATGGCAGGAGCCGGTGCGTACTTGAAACCAAGCCTTAACTCCCGATAAAGAGGGACTTGGCCCCAAATCGAATGGGCAGATCCGCAGGTCCATGATCTTCGTTATCTCTGTCCACTGTTCTGTCTCCTACCGAATCCCTCGGCGCCAATTCGACCTTGCCCTAGGACGAGGTCCCGACGCCGCTAGTCGAAGATGGACGATCGGGGTGAGTGGGGCCTCGACGCCGCTAGTCGACGAGGACAGTTGTTGATCGCAGGCCGTTAGGGTTGCAGAGTGTTAGTGGGGCGGGGGTGGGGAGGGGGGCGCGAGGGGGGAGGGGTGGGTGGGACCGGAGGCGGTGGGGGGTTTGGTGAACATGAACCGCCATCCTCTGCTCAATCGTCTGGAGGGAAGATTGGTGGAGGTTTTCCACTGTGTAGGTTAGCGACCTCAGACGTTCGGACGGTTTTGACGGCAAGGTCCATGTTCTGCACGCGAACTATGTCCTATGGGTTGAGGACGACGCTCCACGACCGTCGGACCGGGTCGAGGTCAGGATTACCGGACGAGATTTGAATCTCCACGACGAAATTGCTTAGTTCATTTCCCCGATGTGCTGAATGTGCACCAGGGAAAATAGGTCCGGTTGGAATAGACGAAGGAATACAGTCCGTAGATAATGAAGATCGACGGAGAGTATCCGAGGGGCACCTGACGCTTAATCGAGGTGTCTTCGAAGAAATCTGAACCAACTTTCCAGATGTGAATGCGCAGCACGCAGATGATCTCTGCCAGGGGCTCTACTTCGCAGCGTAAGTTTCGGCCAAGGAAGTTTTCCTTCGTGTCTCCTATCTCGGAAGTGCAGCCTCGAGTAATGCTGGAATGACCATGGNGTGAACATGAACCGCCATCCTCTACTCAATCGTCTGGAGGGAAGATTGGTGGAGGTTTTCCACCGCGTAGGAGGGAGCGGCTCACTGCTACATGCAGGAGGGATTGGCGGACTCTTGCCCGGTGACATTGACGGGCTTCAAACCTGCTACGGCGGACAGGTGGGCCGAAATGACTGTGAAGATGGACAAGAACGGAGTTGTGTCCGCAGTAGCCCGCAGCTGGTTCTCAGCCAAAAAAGTGGACGTCGTGATCAACGCTGCGTGCTGTCGGCAGCTCACGAGCGAGGAGATCTCAGCGATCCAGAAAGACATGGAAGAGTACAAAACCTGGGAGGAGGATAGGAAGAGGAGGAAAGAGGCTTGGAATGAGCTGCACGAGTACGCTTCTGAGTTCGTTCATCGAAGCCTCCCCAAGCTGAGGCGCAAAGTGCATAACGTCATGAATCAATTGTCAGACGTGAAGGCTTGGTTGGGGACGTTGAGTGGTAGTCCCCCACCTGTTCCCCATTTCCGTTCTAGGATGAGGAAGCTTAAGGTTTCGCTTGCGACACGCAAGTTCACAGTTATCGGGGTCTCGAATCCTACGGGTTGGTGTCGATCGTGTTTCCTTAAGCCACTTGGTAATATTGCGAGCGGCTTGAGCTCCGCTCTTGCCGACGCCGATGACGTGTGTGAGGTGATTATCTCAACGACGAAAGATCGCTTTGGACGTGTTTACCCGGCATGCAAATCATCGTGGAAGGTTGGACTTAACGTTTGTCCAATMTGCAAAGCCGGAGCTGCAGGTTGGGAGAGGGTGAGAGGGTTCTCCACCCCGGTGGTCGTAGCAGGGAGSTGCGTCCACTGCTTTCCGGAGCGGAATGCGTCCCACGAGGACATCGGGATCGCGGCAGGGCCTTTCGTGCTGGCAGGGCTGACCGTCGTGGTGTGCGTCCGTGAGACATCGGTTGATAAGCAGTCGGGATCCCGGCCACTGCTTCAGCAGATCGAGGCCATACATGCTCGCATTGATGGGAAATGGACGAACGTCATCAATGCGTACAAGCCAATGTGGCCTACCAAACGGAGCTCTGCGGAAAGAGTTGCAGATGCGGCAGCGTCGCACGAGATTATTCGAAGCTGGATGGCTGACAATGTCAACGAGGAGACTGCGGCTCGAATCCGCATCATTTATGCGGGGTACGTTACTCGAGACAGCTGGCATGCGCTGGCCGAGACGCTCGATGTGGATGGATTTCTCATCGATCTGCAGGACACCAAGGTTGATTTCGTACACATCGTGAAATCCGTAGTACAGGAGTCACGAGGAGGAGGAGGAGGAGGAGGAGAGCAAGCGCGGAAGTAATAGACGTATGTACTTTGTAGTGGTTTGAGGAGGAGGAGGAGGAGGAGGAGGAGGAGGAGAGCAATCGCGGAAGTAATAGACGTATGTACTATGTAGTGGTTTGAAGTACGTCCCCAAATATGCTTGTGTTTGGTAAAAATCCTGCTGCTCTCCGCCTTTAGTGAATCATCCTTGTAGATATGTCGTTTGCTATTCCGTCTCTCCACGTTTTCCCTTTATTGAGGACGTCCTTCTTTATCGCTGCTGTTGGTAGAGTTCTTAGCGAGCTCCGAGCCGTCTTCTCTCAAAGCCAATGCAGTCTGATCATGGATCTGAATCTTAAGCTCTCTGAGCCTCTCTCGCTGGGGATGTTCAGCCATGGTGCGGCTGCCTTTTGCTCGGGGGTAGGCGGAGGCGATTTGGTCTGTCCAATTAGTGCCATACAGAGATGTCGCCCGCACACTGCATCGCTGATTACTCTTCGCTTGGTTTCTCTCTTTTTTTCTTCCGTACACTGCATCGCTGATTACTCTTTGATAGGTTTCTCTCTATTTTTCTTCCGTGTTTGGGCTGTTTTTTTTTCGCTAGTCTAGAAGGAAAGGAAAAGAAAAAAGAAACAGAAGGGAGGGAAATGTTGCCTGCTCTTGCAACAGTTTTTGTGGGAACATATATATTATATCCTTGTCTTTTTTTCCTTCTTCATTTTTTTCGGAATTTTTTCCTTCTGGATCATCTTTTTGGACTTGACAAGAAACTAGTATTCTCGAGGGAGATTTTTTTCTTCCGCGAAATCTGCTCGAGGAGTGGTGACAATGTGCAATGGAATCTGATCGAGACGGTCACGGAACAGTCGTTGATCGTGACAATATCAGAGTAAATTTAATTCTTTGAATATTTCTAAGCTTACCGGCAAAAAAAAAACATAAGAAAATATGTGCCTGTGATAAAACAGTGTCGAGCATGACGGATATTGTTTTTTTTTTTTTTTTGAGCCTTGAGGGAAATGGCAATCTCGGTATCTCACGCGCAAGTCACTCTTCTTCTTGATTCATGTTCATTTCTTTTTCTCCGACTCGATGTTTT